GAGACAGAGACAGAGACAGAGACAGAGACAGAGACTGACTGACTTTCGGCACACAATGACAAAAAGGTTAGCCATCACTACTATAGGTCTTTCTAACTAAGTAACCAACTAATTCTTTCTTTTTCTTTCTTTTTCTTTCTTTTTCTTTCTTTTTCTTTCTTTCTCTTTCTTTCTTTCTCCTTCCTTCCTTCCTTCCTTCCTCCCTACCTACCCCGTCCTTCCCTCCCTTCCCAATACTACCCATCTGTAAATTCATGACACTTACACAATACAATACAATAAAGTAAAATACAATACAATAGCAGAGTTGGAAGGGACCTTGGAGGTCTTCTAGTCCAACCCCCTGCTTAGGCAGGAAACCCTATACCACTTCAGACAAATGGTTATCCAACATCTTCTTAAAAACTTCCAGTGTTGGAAAATTCACAACTTCTGGAGGCAAGTTCTTCCACTAATTAATTCTTCTAATTGCCCGGATATTTCTCCTTAAAATTCGAGGCTGGATCTCTTTTTGATAATCTTCCATCTTTTGTCCTTGATGATACATTCCAATCTCTTACTCTATTTATTTGCATTCTCCTTTTCTAGTCAATGTCATCAGGACATGGAACCTGTTGGTGAAACACCAGTCTGAAAATGTTGAAGCTCAGAGGACACCAAGAATCCATCACAGAAACAGCTCTTGGAGGGGTCTTTCTATCTACAACATGGATTTAATTAGGAATCGCTCAATAATCAAGAGCATTTGGGATGGGGTGGGGGGTGGGGAGAAACCTATATTGGGTTGGATGCATTCTCTCTACCATGAAGAAACTGTTGGAGTTCATCCCATCCACCTGTTCCCATGGAAGTTTCTTTCTTTTCCATGTTAACTGAGAGAGAGAGAGAGAGAGAGAGAGAGAGACAGAGAGAGAGACAGACAGAGATAGAGACGAGGCAGACAGAGAGAGACACACACAGAGTGAGAGAGACACAGAGAGAGGCAGAGAGAGAGAGGCAGAGAAAGACACACAGAGAAGCAGAGAGAGGAGAGAGATAGACAGAGACACAGAGACAAAGAGAGAGAGAGAGAGAGGAGAAAGAGAGGCAGACAGGGAGAGACAGACAGATAGACAGACAGAGACACACACAGAGAGGCAAAGAGAGAGAGAGGCAGAGAGAGGAGAGACAGACAGATAGACAGACAAAGAGAGATGAGAGAAAGGCAGATAGAGAGAGACACACACACATACACACACAGAGAGACAGACAGAGAGAATGAATAACTGTTCTCCTTCAAGGAAGCGTGTTTTTACCTATTCCCTAACAATAGCTTCAGGCATATGGCCTCTTCTGAATAAAGAATCTTTCCTTCCCTGTCTTTTCCCTGACATCTGCTTGGTTTAAAAAAGAGGGAGAGAGAGAGAGAGGGAGAGAGAGAGAAAGAAAGTTTTCTAGCAATCTGACATGTGATGGTCTCTAATAGGGCTGCATTCTGAGCGAAAAGTGTTGATGAGCAAGTGTTTTTGATTTGTGGCTGGCTGACCCGTTCATTCCCACACTAGGCTGGCTGATCAAGAAGAATACCTGATCGATTTGCCCATTAATTGGAATGGCTAACAAGGCAGGTAAGCAGGAAGGAAGGCGGGAGGGGCTTCTCTCTGGGTATTCAGGAGAAATTGGACCAACTATCTTGACGCCTATGGAAGGGGGCATCTATTGGGGAGGAGGATGTCAGGCAGACTTGAAGGAAGAGGGAGGGCTTTGGATGGTCAACTTGAGGGTGGGATCCTGGGTAATTCCTGTGTTCACATCAGACCTGCTACTGATGTGGACAGGAAGATGTTGCTCAATGGGGTGGAACTGGCATGGAATTCATTAGAACATCCTTTCTTAACCTCAGCAAATTTCAGCGGTGTGGACTTCGATTCCCAGAATTCCCCGGCCAACATTAAAAAAACAACAACCCTG